GGCAGATGGAGCGGGTGTGCGCGGCAAGCAGCTACAGCCGGCGTGCCTGCACTCCCGACAGAAGGCCAGCTCGGCTCCCACCCCAGGCCCAGCCCAGCCCAGCCCAGCGCAGCGGGGCCCCCGCCGGCGCACCTGCCCGTCGTCGCCGCCGCCCACGGTGACATCTGGCCTGCGGAAGGCCAGTAGGGCTGCCAGCGAGGCGAGGCCGCAGGCGTCCACCAGGTTCCCCTGGTGGTCCAGCACGCGCACATCCACGCGCAGGTGCCACACCTTGCGGCCTGTGCAGGCGCCGAGGGGGGAGGAGGGCGAACACATGCGGGAGAAGAGGTGGGGCGAGGGCAGGCAGGCAGGCAGGCAGGCAGGCAGGAGGGCGAGGCGAGCAGTGCAGGCGCGCGGCCGGTGGCGGTGGCGGGAAGGAGGGAGGCATGGGGGGTGTGACGAGGGAGCCTCGCAGTGCGGCGTGATGTCAACAGCAGGCAGGCGCGCGGCGTGGCGTGGCGTGCCGCACCTGCCAGCACCACCAGCGCCTCCAGGTCAACCGCCCGGCTCTCCCGCAGGCCTCGCTCCACCAGGCGCGCCACCTCAATGGCGTCCTCCCCGGGCCGCCCTGCAGCGGGCAGCGGCAGGGGCAGGGGCGGCTCGGAGAGAGCGCCCGCAGCAGCGGGCGGGGGGCCACGATGGCGCCCGCCACCTTGGCTGTCTTGGCGGGGGACGTCGGCCGGTCCCGCCAGTGCCGCCGCCTTCTCCCTCCCCTGCCCCGCGTACCCGGCTCAAAGGCGGGGGAGGCCATGGGAGAAAACTCCACGTTGAAGCGCAGGGTGCCCTCGTTGTGGCGGTCGGCATACGGCGCCTCCAGGCTAGCGCTGACCACCGCCATGACGCGCGTGCGCCCCAGCAGTGCCGTGCAGCTGCTGTCGTCCAGCGCAAACTGCAGGCGCACGGGGCGCAGCTCGAAGGGGGCGCGGCCGTCGATGCGCTGCCCCTCATTGAGCGCCTGCAAGGGCGGCGCGGCAGCAGGAGGAGCGGCGGCAGTGGGCGGCGGTGGTCGTGGCGGCGACAGCAGCATGCATCGAAGCGCCGCCGCCCCAGACCCCATCCGCTGCGCAACATTAGCCGGCAGCTACCTTGAGAATGAACTCCCGCTCGTTGTTTGATATGCTGCAGTCCGCGTCTCGCTGGAGGGACGCCATTGCTGGCGCTGATCAAGCTGAAATTCCCCCCTCCCTGTCTACATGCAATCTACAACACCGATGCCTGCGTGGGGATACAAGAGCGACCAGGCAACACTCGTCCCTCTCCCAACAGGCCCCAGACAGGCTAGGGAGGAGGCATGAAGATGGGTCAATACATGTGAGCCTGCAATCGCCCAGAGGAGGCTGTTCCCAGAGCCCAGCATTTGGTGCAGGAGGTCTAGCTGGCATTGCCCGAAAAGCCCCGTCCCTGGCCCCAGGCCTCGCCTGATCGTCTGCCCCACACGAGCAGCCCACATCTGCCCGGCCAGAGGGGCTCTGCGTGCTGGGTTGGGTGACAGTGCTCGGGGCGTGCCGTGAGTCGCCTCTCCTCTAGTGCAGGGCAGGCACCGACGCCTGGCAGGTGCGTGAGGGAGCAGGGGGAGCCCCCAGACACCTTCTGCTGCACGGAGGTCTTTGCGGTCTCGCCGCTGCAGGGGCAGCAGGTTGGGGCGGCAGTCGCACGCAGCCATTCAAGCGTGGCAACTCCCGCGCCAGGGCGCGGCCTGCTGGCGCTCGGGCTGCCCAGCTTGCCCCGCCCGCCCGCTCACCACCGCCGCGTCGTGCCCTGCCCGCCGCAGGCGCGTTTTCGCTGCCGTGTGGGCCGGCGTCAGCCTCCATTGAAGCGGCACCATGACGGAATTCCTGCGCCGCGGCGCCCCGGGCATGAAGGTGCGGCGGCGGCCAGCTGGGCAGCTCTCCGTCTGCCGCCGATCTGTGACGCCGTTTTGTTTCTCGCTGCTTGCTCCCTGCTGCCGCCCTGCCCAGACCTGTTGCTTCACTCCCCTCTCCCTCCGCTCCTGCAGTCCGTCAAGGACATGCCGGTGGTCCAGGACGGCCCTCCGCCCGGCGGCTTCCCCGCAATCCGCTACGCGCGGCGCGTGCCCAGCTCCGGACCCACCGGCCTCACCCTGTTCACAGGTGAGCGGGCTGGCCGGCCAGGCTGGTTGGCTGCGGCACGGGCCAGCAGCAGCAGCAAAGGGCCTGCCGCAGGAGCAGCCGGCCATACTGCCGCGGCCATACTGCCGCCGCACCTCTCAGGATCGAGTGATGGGTGGGTGGGGCGCGCCTGTGTGTGGCTAACCCTCCTCGCCAGCACCGGCTGCCGACCCAGCCACTCCCGCTGCCGCCGCCTCCGCTGCGCAGTGGGTGCGGCGGTGATGGCCTACGGCTTCTACAAGGTGGGGCAGGGCAACCGCGAGCGCCGCGGCATCAAGGCGGAGCACTTCGCCATGCGCGCCTCGCTGGTGCCCTTCCTTCAGGTGGGCAGGATGGGGAAGGCAGGGGGCGACGGGACGGGGTGCAGTGCTGGTGTGGGAGAGTTGGGGGCTGACTTGGCCCGAGCATTCAAGTGGGGAGGCCTGCGCCCGCTGCGCTGCCACCTTCTGCGCCGTTGAGGGGCGCCTGCCTGCTTAGCACGCCGTGTCGCCGCACGCCGAGTCGGCGCGTGGGTGTGCTGCCCGGCCCCTGCCTTGGGCCCTGCAGGCGGAGGAGGACCGGCGGTGGGTGGTGAAGCACCAGGAATTCCTGGCCAAGCAGCAGGCGGTGATGAAGGATGTGAGCCTGCCGCCCGCCTGGCTGCCCTGCTCAGCCTGGCTCCCTCTCTCTCTTTCTCTCTCCCTCTCTCGCTCTCCTCCTCTCTTTCTCTTCTCTTCGAGTAGTGCCTTCAAAAAGCACACGCATCCCCGCCCGCTGCCTGCCGCAGGTGCCCGGCTTTGAGGTGGGCCAGAGCGTGTACAAGACGCGCTGGATGCCGCCAGCCAAGCCAGTGGGCGCCTGGGAGTGAGGCATCCGCCTGGGCCGCTGGCCTCCCGGATACCATTCTGGACGCATGGGCCACCTGGCGCCAGCTGGACACAGCTGCTGGGCATGATGTGCTGTGCTGCCGCCAGCACCCGCCACCTCCACCTTCTCTCTGCGCTCCCTCGTGCTTTTGCGCTGATTGTAACAGCTTGTACCCGTGACAGCGGGGGGCGCCATGCCCTCCCAGCAGCGCAACGCAACAGAGGGCAAGGCAGCCCTGCCGAGCCCAGGCAGTCAGTAGCCCGGCGGTCGGTCGGCGGAGATGTCTTGCAGGAAGGCGGCCTCGCGGGCGGTGAGCGGCGGCTTGAACTGGACCTGCGGGGGGCCGGGGCGGGGTGTGCGGCAGCCGCCAGCGCCGGTGAGGGAGAGCACGGCACAGCGAGACCAAGGCGGCCACGTGGCGGCCCAAGCCGTGCCTGCCTGCCCCTTGCAGCCCTGCCCCTTGCCTGCGCGCACGCCGCCGCAAACTCATCCAGCAGCGCCTTGATGGCCCAGTCGCGCGTGCTCAGCCGCTGCCGCCGTATGCCCGCCGCCATCATGAGCCTACGGCGGCGGGGTGGCGCGGGGCGGCATGCGCGCAGCGGCAGTGGGGCAGGCAGGCAGGGCACTGGGAGCAGGACGCAGGCGCTGCCCAGGCTCTCACACCCGCCACACCCACACCCCCACACTACCACCACCATCCACACACACACACACACACACACATGCACACACCACACACACACAAACACACACACACACGCACACCACCACCACCGCTCCAGGCCCCCACCCACCTCAGCATGCTGCCCGCAAAGTCTGGGGAGTAGGGCGGGGCGGAGACCTCCAGCACGCCAAACACGAGGTGGCGCACCAGGGAGGGGTCGGCGCTCTGCTTCCACTCCTCAGCCCACCGCAGCACCTCAAACACGCGCCCCGCAGACACCAGCTGCAAAATGGGAGGGGAGTCGGGGGCAGATAATGGAATAGCGGATGTGAGAGTGTGCTCACAGTGAGCAAGGAGGGGGAGCAGACGGCAGCAGGTGGCAGCAGGTCAGGCACCCGGCTCGCTGCCCAGCGCAGGCCGCGCGCCCGAAGCCCGCGCCGTCGGCCCCGCCCTGCGGCCCCCGCTCCCGCCCTCGCCCTCGCCCACACGCGGCAGCCAGCCGGGCGCAGCGCGGCAGCTGTCGCGCTTGCCTGCACGGCGATGGAGAGGAATCCCTTGGCCATGTCGTGGTTGGTGTTGCCCAGCGCGCCCAGCGCGCGCCCCACCAGCTGCAGCAGGCTGCCGTGCAGCGCGGGCTGGCGCGGCACGAGCAGGGAGAGGAGGGAGAGGAAGGGGGGCGACTTGAGCAGGTGGTAGGCGGTCTGCCAGTAGTCGGGCCGCGTCAGCTGGGCGCTCATGGCGCGCAGCAGGCCTGCGGGCATGGGGTGGCAGTGGCATTGGGCGACCACGTGCGTGCGTGTGTGTGAGCATGTGTGAGATGAGGGAGGCAAGACCGGAGCAGCCGGCTGGCTTCCAGCCAAGGCCGGAGGCTGCACGCATGTGTGTAGGTGGCTGGGGGCCACAGCCGCGCCAGCTGGCAGGCACCGAGGGCAACAGCCGGGCCAGCAGCAGCCTGGCGGCCCGTCGGCTCACCCGCCGCGCAGCAGGGGTACTCCATCACCGCCGCCGCCCGCTCCAGCTCCTCCGCGCTGCTCTTCTGGTCCTGCAGCACGTGCTGCGCCAGCTCAGCGGCCGCCTCCAGCGCCGCCCGCGTGGCGGCCACGCCAGACACATCCAGCAGGTCATCTGGCGGCTGCGCCCCGCCGCTGCCGTCGGCTGGGCCGCACGGCCGCCGGTCGTCCGCTGCCGCTGCCAGCGCCAGCAGGCCCGAGTAGGCTTGCACCACCTCTGGCTGTAGCTGGCGCCCCGGGCTGAACAGGCCGTGCAGCAGGACGTCAAACACGCGCGGGTGACGCAGGAAGGAGACGGGCGGGGGCTGCTGGCCCTGCGGCAGCAGGTGGCGCGGCACCGGGACCAGGTGAGCCCTCGGGTTCAGCAGAGAGCACATGGCCCTTTGTCCACACGCCCCCGCCCCGAGCGCAGCGCATGCGGGCGCTGCCGCTGTTTCCGGAGCAGCCCTCGCCCGCCTGTCACTCATTGCTTTCGTCGCCAGTACATGCCGTACAGCACCGGCTCCCGTGGCCAGTACATGCGGTACAGCTTCCCCCACTCACCGGTTCCTGTGGCCAGTACATGCGGTACAGCTTCCCCATCTCCGAGGCGGGCGGCACCCCGCTGACCGAGGCGGCCAGGATGTCGGACAGAAGCGCGGCCACCTGGTAGTGCGCCTCGGGCTGGCCTGCAGGGCAGGGCAGGGGTGTGGCTGGATGGGAGAGGGGGACGTGGACGGGTGGGAGGCAAGCAGGCACGAGGGGGGGCGCGGGGGTGGCAGAAGGTAGGCGCCAGCCAGCGAGGACGGACGCATGAGGGCGCAGGCGCTCCTTGCGCAGCCGCTGGGGTGGGGGCGGCGGTGGCGCGGTGCCTGCGCCTGCGCCTGCGCACCTCCCCAGCCAGCCAGCCAGCCAGCTGTCCCCGCGGCACCCACCCGGCTCCGCAAACCACTGCCGCATCTTCCACACCACCGGTCCGTGCAGAGCCGCCGCATGCTCCTCTAGCTCCTGAGCGATGCGGCGGAAGCGGGCGCCGTGGGGGTGGCGGGCCAGCTCACACAACACCTGCGGCAGGGCGGCAGGGTCAGGACCACAGGCGGACCGGCTGGCTAGGCGTCCGGGCTGGCAAGGGTGGCGCGTGGGCGGAAGCAGCGGCGGCACGGGCTGCACGCGCAGCGCGGTGCGCCTCCCAGCCATGTCGCCGCTCCTCGATAAACACGCGCACGCGCACGCGCACGCACACACACACACACACACGCACCTGCTGCGCGTGCACGTACGTGTGCTGGCTGGCACAGCAGTCCTCCTTGAGGCTGCGGGTCAACGCCGCCAGGCCCTCGTCGTCCCCCGCCGCCGCCGCCTCCCGCAGCTTGGCCGCCATCAGGCGGTGGAACACGCCAAAGTATCCCGCCAGGCTGCCGCCCACCGCCGCCACCTGGGGCGCCGCGGGGGGGCGCGGCAGGCGTAGGCGGGCACAGACATGAGCAGGGTGATGTCCGAAAACACCAGGGGCACAACCAAGCGCAGCCGGGCAGGCGGTGGCTGGGTGCGGTGGCGGGTATGGAACAAGCCTGGGGTGTGGCTGCGCGCAGCAAGCTGGAGCATGGGCGAGCAGGTGGCAAAAGAAAAGGAAGCGGCCTGGGCCCCACCTCCTTCTCCCTCCCCGGCTGCATCAGGATCTTGTGGATGGCAAAGTTGAGCAGCAGCGAGTTCTTGTATCGCCCGGCCAGCTCATACACAAGGGAGCGGCCCTCTGCAGGCAGGGAGGGCTAGGTGGGGAGGCGGGTGGGCAGGCAGCGCAGCGACGAGGGCGTGTGGGGCAGGGCAGGGCAGGCAGGCAGGCAGTGGCAGCCCGCCAAGCAGACACACGCAGCCGTGGCTACAGGCGCGGCGCTGCAAGCGCAAGAAACACAGCAAGGGCGTGCCTGGCGAGGCGATGAGGCCGTTGAGCCACTGCGGGGCGCCGCTGCCTCCAGAGGTGAAGACGGTGGCAAAGAGGTGCGGGTCAAAGCGCTCTTTGGCCAGCTGGCGCAGGTAGAAAGCTTCATCCAGCGGCCCCCCACCGCCTGCTGCTGCTCCCGCGCTGCCCCCCGCTGCCCCAGAGCCGCCGCCGTGGCCGCCCCTGGCGGCAGCCCAGCTGCCGGGGGATGCTGCCGCAGCGGCGGCTGCCGTGCCGCCGTTGGCGGCACCTGGCCCGCCGCCGCTGGTGCCGCCGCCGCCGCCGCCGCCGCTCTGCTCCGTCATTTCCAGCCATCGGCACACCAGGCTCGCCATCTGGGCATACCCTGCACCGAGCACGGGCCGCCAAGGCATGCAGGCAGGTCCACGCCAGTGAAGTACCGCCACCATGGCCGCCACCCAACCCCACAGCACACCAACAACAAGCAACAAGCAACGCACGCTCTGCCAAGCCGCTCCCTCTGCAAGCCGCTCCCTCTGCATACGACCCTGGGGCTCCACGCCGCGTGCGCCCGGCGCACGCCTGCCACCACCACAGCCGTGCCTCGCGCCTCGCGCCCTGCACCCACCCACGTAGCTCTCAGTCAGGTACTCCACAGCCGCCTGCGGGTGGCCATTGGCCATCACATACTCCCGCAGCCGCTCCATGATTGCGGGCTCCATGACGGCATCACCCTGGCGCAGCACTGCCTCGAGCTCATTGAGCTTGCGCTGCTGCTCCAGCGCCGCCGCGGCCGCCGCCTCTGCCGCCGCCTCGGCCGCGCCTTCGTCCATCTCAGGCTCGGGGCCGGGGCCGGGCTGCTGATGCTGGTGGTCGGGGTCGGGGCCGGCGAGCGCGCCAGCTGGCGCCAGCTGGTCGCCGCCACCGCCGTCGGCTGCTGGAGGCGACTGGGCGAAGCCCTGCTGCTGCCCCGGCTCCTCCTCCTCCTCCTCCTGCTGCTGCTGCTGCTGCTGCTGCTCCTGCGCTGCATGCTCGTCACCTGCCTGCGGCTGAATGCCAGCCTCAGGCGGCAGCCGCTGCTCAAGCTCGCCTGCGCCGTGCTGCTCCTGCTGCTGCTCCTGCTGCTCCACCGCTGCATCCAGCGGCATGGGCGCCGGCTCCTGCTGCTCGCCGTCCCGGCCGCTGCTTCCAGGGTCGGCGGCCAGCGTGCAGCCGTCGTGCGCCTGCTGGCTGCTGGCGAGCGCAGCCTCCCCGCTGCTCTCCTGCCGCGCAAGCTTCTCGGCGGCGGCGGCAGGCGGGCTCCCCCCCTCAGCACCGGCCCCGCCGCCGCTGCCGCCATCGCTGGCTTCCGGCCCAGCCTCATTGGCGGCGGGCCCTGGGGAGCCGTCCATGGCTACTGTGCCTGCGGCCGCGCCGCCTGAGGCACGAGCAGTGCGGTCGGTGGCGGCACGGCGGCGGCCGCTGGTAAGGTGCGGGTGCAGCCGGCGCCCCCCCCCTGCCTCCTGTTCGCTGTAGATCGATTCCGGACCCTCAGGTGACGACCAAGAGCGCACCGAGGCTTTATGAAGCCCTCTGGGGCTGGGTGATGGGCGGCGCAGGGGTTCCTGTCTAGCGGATCGCTGCAGGTGGGATCCAAATTGACAGAGCGCATGCAGAGAGCTCACGAGTACACACGTAGCGGCGCGCCCAAATGCATTGCCCAGCACGCAGCAGGGAGCACACTCCCATGCTGCGTGCCAAAACCGCTGCCGGCTTTGAGCACAGCGCCCCATTTGAGCTGTCCACGAGTACCAGAACAGCGCAGAGGCTGCCAACAGCTGACCCTCGTCCGATGTCGTTCACCGCCTGCTGAGGAGCTTTGGTGAGGCCGCTCTGACAGGCCGCCATGTCCAGCACCAGGCCGCTGAGCAAGGACGGGCGGCGGGCGCTGCTGGAGCAGCTGGCAGCCAAGCGGCAGGGCAAAACCGCCGCCTGTCGGGAGCTGGAGGATTCAGACGACTCGGAAGATGAGTCGTTCGCTTCAGCTCGCAGCAAGCAGACAGCCACCGTGCTGGAGTCTGACAGCAGCGAGGAAGAGAACCAGGGGCCCCGGCATGCAACCAGCAGGCCCGCCAGCACGGCAGGCAGCCGCCTCATCCGGCTGCGCAAGGCGGGCGCCGTGCCGCTGCTCCCGCCCAAGCAGCAGCAGCACCAGAGCCTGGCTACGACCGCTGCTTTGGAGGAAGACAGCGACGACGACATCGCGGCGCAGCTAGGAGGGCTGAGCATCATGGGAAAGGCAGGCAGCGAACCACAGGCTGGCGGCAGCGGCAGCCTCCCTGCTGCGCCTGCCCCGCCTGCTCGTCCGCGACTCGACCTGGCCCGCTCTCAGCACAGCCAGCCCAGCGCCAGCGCGGAGGCACCGGCAGGGATGCAGCAGGACAGCAGGTGCCTGGTGCTGGGCGAGCGAGGCGAGTTCGTGCTGAAGTGAGTAGAGCAGGCCCGCTCGGTTGTTGCCACCTGTCGTGCCCTCCCTCACTCCCCGTTGGCTGCTGCCCGCCTGTGCAAACTTCCACACTATGCCGTGTGCTTGCCACCGCTTGACTGTGCAAGCTGTGCTCTTCACCGCCTTGCCCCCTAGCATATCCACAACCACACGTCCCACATAATGCACCCATCCTGGTGCCTGTGCTGCCTCGCCCTGCCCACCCATGCAGCGCCACGGCCTCCACCATGCTCTACCCCCACCAGGTGGAGGGCATCAAGTGGCTGTGGAGCCTGTTCCGCCTCAACCGGGGAGGAATCCTGGTGAGGGCTGGGCCACTGCTGCTGCTGCTCTGTGCTGCACCCGCTCTGTGTATCCCCCTGCCCTGCAAGTGCCACCCACCCACCCGCCAGCCCACTCACACCCTCCCTCCCCCGCCTGCATGCAGGCCGACGACATGGGCCTGGGTGGGTGCTGGGCGGCACCGCGTATCTGCTGGGTGCTGGGTTGTTTGCTCCTGTTTTGTAGCGCGTGTCCCTGTGCATCCCAACCCGAGCTGCCAGCCGCCAGCCCCTTCCGTGCCGCCCCGCCACGCAGGCAAGACCATCCAGTGCGCCGCCTTCCTGGCGGGCCTCATCCAGGGCCGCCTGATCCGGAGGGCCATAGTGGTGGCCCCCAAGACGCTGCTGGCACAGTGGCGCAAGGAGCTGGGCGTGTGCGGGCTGCAGGCGCAGGCGCACGAGTACGGCGGCAGCGCCGGGGAGAGGTGGGTGGGGCGGGCGGGTGGGCGAGTGGGTGGGGGGGGGCCTGCCTGGGTGTTGGGGCAGCGGTCCGCCATGCCGCCGTCGCGCATGCCGGCTTGCTGGTCGCAGACTCAAACTGGGTGAGGCTGTAGGCTGGGAGGAGATTGGGTTTGGCACTGTTGTCGATGCCTCTCTGCCCCCTGCCCACCCCCCACCCCACCCCCCCGCTGTGGCCCCGCAGGGAGGCGGCGCTGGAGAGCGTGGTGCGGCGTCGCGGCGTGCTGCTCACCACGTATGGCATGGTGCTGCACAATGCGGAGGTACTGGCGCGGCATGGCGACCACGACCCCGATGATGGGCCGCTGTGGGACGTCATGATCTGTGGTGAGGCGGGCGCCCAGGTGGCGGCGCGCGCTGCCAGGTGGCGGTGCGCTGGTGGTGCTGGCCGGGCAGCCGCTTTAGCCCGCCGTGCAGTGCCTGCCGAGCGCCAAGGCGCTGCGCCGCAGCTGGCTGGCTGGAGGGGTTTGTGGCTGGTTCCAGCATGTCGCCGCTGCGAGCTGAGGTGGGGAGCCCATCCGTTGCCCCGCCTGTGAGCTGCCGCCTGCCCTCCCTCTCCCCACCACAGACGAGGGCCACAAGCTGAAAAACCCGCGCATGCAGCTGCGCAAGGCGCTGGACGAGGTGCCGGCGGTGCTGCGGGTCATCATCAGCGGCACCCCCATACAGAACAACATGATGGAGATGTGGGCCCTGCTCAACTTCTGCGTGCCAGACGTGCTGGGGGAGGCGGCAGACTTCAGGCAAGGAGAGGCGTGGGGGGGAGGGGCAGCCTCCTTCCCAGCTGCCCCCATAGTGCAGCCGTGGCTAGGGAGATTGGCGGGCTGGCTGCCTGCCTGCCTGCCTGCGTGGCATCACCACGCCGAACCTCCCCCTTGGTGTGCGAGCAGGGACAAGTTTGAGAAGGTGATCACCGTGGGCACCGACAAGCATGCCACAGAGTATGAGCGGGAGCGCGGCGCGGTGGCGGCGGCACGCCTGCGCCAGGTGCGCGGCTGGTGCAGGCAGTGGGAGCTGGCGGGCAGCCAGGAGGCGTGTGTGGCGTGACATGCCTGGGCAAGCCGGCTTCCATGCGGTGTTTGGACGATGCAGACCGGGTGGGCTGGGCGGTACCGCCTCGTTCTGTACCGCCTGCAGGAGATTGGGCCCTACATGCTGCGGCGGGAAAAGAAGGAAGTGTTCAAGCCGGCTGCGGGCGACGGCGCTGCAGCCGCAGCCGCAGGCGGCGCTGGCGAGGGCAGCGGCGGCGCAGCGCAGGCTGCGGCGGGCGGCGGCGGCGGCGGCGGCTCCAAGCCCCACTCCATGCCCGACAAAAAAGGCCTGAATGTGTTGCTGAAAGTCAAGCCCATGCAGCGCCGGGTTTACCCGGGCTTTCTCAACTTCGGTAAACCCCCAGGGGGGATTGGGGCAACCTGCCAGCGGGAGCGCGGGAGCAGCGCTGGGGCGCGCCCACTGCCCTGGCCCACTGCCAATTCTCTTGCCTTCCCAGCAGCTGCTTGCCCCCTTCCCGCTTGCTTTGCTTCTGGTTGTTTCACCCTCCAGCAACCAAACCTCTGCCTGACCTGCAGATCCTGTAAGGAAGGTGTTCAACCAGACGGCCTCGGCGCTGGCAGCCATCACAGTGCTCAAGAAGGTGAAGCGCCAAGGAGAGGCCCTGCTCTTGCCCTGCTGTTACTGCGCTTGCCATCGCAACCCTACTGTCTGCCTCTTCTCCATTTCGCTGCCGCCGCCTGCTGCCTTGCTGCGCGACGCAGGTGTGCGACCACCCGGCGCTGCTGTCTGACCGCGCGGCCCACGGCATTGTCTCGGGCGTCAGCCGCGCGCGGCGCCAGGCGGCGGCGCGGCTGGGCGGCGGCGCCAGCGATGGCGAGGGCAGCGAGTGCGAAGAGATCGAGGACAGCGAGGAGGGGGAGTGGGAGTCAGGTGGGCACGCCCCGCCTGCCAGCAGGGCACGGGCGTGGTGCATAAGTTCTTGTGGTCAAGTAGACAGATTTTTACAGTGCTTGTCCTGCTCCCTCTTGTGCTTGCATCCCCTCCTCGCACCATCCTGCGCCCGCAGACAGCGAGGACTACAGCAGCGAGGAGGAACGGCAGCGCAGCCGGGCCAAGCAGCGGCAGAAGGCCAAGCGGGCCGCCGCCGCCGCCAGGGCCGCCCCGGCGGCCGCGGTGGGGGCTGAGGGGGAGGAGGAGTGGAGCCTGTGGGCTAGCGCCGACATCGAGCAGCGGCTGCTGGAGGAGGTGCACACCACAGGTGGGTTCGGATGAGAGGGCCGTGTGGCTACTATGCTGTATTTTATGTTGTGAAGAAGGTTGGAAAGCAGTGTTTGGAGAGTGTGGCAAGATGTGGCAGTGCACTGGGTGCGTTGGTTGATGTTGCGTTTGGCCCTCCCTCCCTTTGCCTGCCCGCCTGCCCGCGCTCCTCCCGCAGGCTTTGCCGCCTCCTGCAAGACTGTGTTTGTGATGGCGCTGCTGAAGAACCTGGTAGGGGAGGGGCACCGCACCCTCATCTTCTCCCAGTCCCGAGTCATGTGAGGGGGAGGGAATGGGGGAGGTGGGAAGGCACCCTGGCACCCGCGGTGGGGCCACCAGCAGCAGCGGCTGCGGGCGGGCTGCGGCCAGCAGCATTGGCAGCCATGGGTCGCCTTCGCAGCGCCGCTGGCCTGCTTCTCTCACATGCTGCCGCTGCCCCCCCTCGCCCCTATGCCCTCTGCCTCCTCCCTGCCAGGCTCAACATTCTGGAGTCAGCCATCAAGGAGGAGCAGTGGCGGTACTGCCGCATAGATGGGTCTGTTGCCAGCGCAGCAGGTAGGGCCCGCGCCTGCTGCAGCTGGGGCCTGCGGCCAGCCAGCACCGCTGCATGGCATGCGCCGACATGCCGGCTGAGCGACCTTCCCGACCGTGTGTGCCTGGCTGCGCTGCCGCAGAGCGCGAGGCGCGCGTGCGCCAGTTCCAGACCTCCCACACCATCCCCATCTTCTTGCTCACCTCTCAAGTGGGCGGACTGGGGCTGACGCTGACGGCGGCGGACCGAGTGATCATGTGTGTGTGTTGTCGGGGAGGGCTTGAGGAGTGTGGGTCAGGGGATTGTACGCTAGCAGGGGGTGGGGCGCTGCCTGTGCTGGCTGCCGCCTGATCAGGATGCACACCGCCTTGCCTGTCCCTGCCTGCAGCCTGGACCCTGCATGGAACCCGTCCACAGGTGGGCCTGCCTGCCGCCCGCAGCTGCATGCAAACCCTCTTTGGGGGAGGCTGCCTTGCGTGCGTTTCGAGAGACCCCCCCAGCTCATGCATTGTCACGTGTTGGCTGCTAGCGCCTTGCAGACAACCAGAGCGTGGACCGGGCGTACCGCATCGGTCAGAAGCGGGACGTGGTTGTGTACCGCCTCATCTCCTGCGGTACGGTGGAGGAGAATATTTATCGCAGACAGGTCGGTGGCAGCTGGTTGGTGTGTGCGCGCGGGGGGTGGAGTGTGGTGGTGGCGTCTTGCGGGGCACTGGTCGGTGCGATTTTCAAGGTCCCTCATACACACGCGCCCCACCACCGACACCGGCTCTCACTGCCCTGCAGGTGTTCAAGGGCGGCCTGTCAAGGACGGGCATGGAGGAGGGCGAGCAGCTGCGCTACTTTGCACAGCAGGCGAGCGGCGGCGCGCGCGGCTGAGCCTGGCATGCCGTGGTGCAGGGTGCCCGCCAAACTTCCACCACCCCCCATCCCACGTGCACAGCGCACACGCACACGCAGCCACCTTCTCCCTCTCACACGAGCCGAGGCTTGCTTCCCCCTTGCAGGACCTGCGAGATCTGTTCCGCCTGGAGCCCTCGGAGTGTGAGGCGTCGCAGACGCAGCGTGAGCTTCACGACAGGCACGCCCACCAGCGGCGCGAGTCCCCCGACCTCACCCGCCACCTCGCCTTCCTGCGCACCCTCGACTGCTACGCGGGTGGGTGGGTGGTGGCAGCACATGATGGGTGGAGGGACGGGCGGGCTGATGCCTGCAAGGGGATGAAGCGTGTGAGGCGCGATGGGAGGCGGGGCGGTTGCTGGATCTTTGGGGGTTTGGCAGCTTGCAGCTGCGGCAGGGCCGCAAACCCGCGGCTGCGCCGACGTGCTACTGGCTCCCGGCTGCCGCAGGCGTGAGCGACCACGACCTCCTCTTTTCCATCAAGGAAAGGGAGGCGCCGCCAGCTTCGGGCATCACGCGCCCAGCCGCCACGCCGCCTCGCGTCGGCAGCGCTGCCGCAGCGCCCGGCGCCGGCTCTGCACGCAAACAGGGCCCCGGCCGCCCTGTGTTTGGAAAGACTGCGGCCCAGGGGTGGAGCGGAGGCAACGAGCTGTCTGATCTGTTCGCCAAGGCAGTGACCATCAGCGGCGGCGGCGGCAGCGCGGCGGTGGCGGCGGCGGCGCAGCCGCCAGGCAGCAGCAAGCCCAGCCCGCCCGCCCCGGCGGCGCCCTCGCCCAAAATCTCTGCTGCGTGAGTGTGCGGCTGCCTGCCGCTGCGGTATCGCGTGGTTGCTGCGTGGCTGTGCGGTGGTTGGATGGCTCAACGACTGTGGTGCGAATCGGATGCTCTTGGCGCCTGGCACCTGGCCCTGCCTGCCTGCAGGGAGCGCATTGAGGAGCTGGAGGGTTTGCTGCTGCGCAAGCGCCACCTGCTCACTCTGTCCAGCGGGCTGGCAGACGGCGGCGCGCGGGTGAGCAGGGGGGCGGAAGGCGCTGGCACCGCTGTGAACCTCGTTGGCTTTGGGCTGCTTGCACAAGGCCCTGGTGTGCACTGCCACCACGTGCCTGCTGCTGGTGCCTGCCCTGCTGCCGCAGGTGCGCTCCCAGATTGCTGAGCTGGAGCAGGAGCTAGCAGCAGTGAAGGCGCCGGCGTCCAGCTCTGGCGGCAGCGCCGCTATCATTGCCAGCAGCGGCAGCGGCGCCGCTGTGGCGGCGCCAGCAGTGGCGCCCTCCAGGCCACCTGTGCCCGCCAGCCAGCCTGCCAGGCCCGTGCAGCTGGCACCGGCAGCAAGAGCCCGGGCCCCAGCCGGTGCCAGCAGCACAATCAGCGCTGCGGCGCCCAGAGCCGGCGGCGGCGGGAATCTCGTTGTTGCAGCGGCAGCGACGCAGCTGCCACCGAATGGTAGCAAAGCTGCAGAAGGGCCCGTCCAGCAGCCAGCAGTGCAGCCTGCACGCGCCCTCGCCCCCACAGCAGCTGCTGCGGCACACACCCTGCCAGCTGCAGCGCCACCAGCGGCAGCGCCGGGGAGCAAGCCTGCCGCCAGTCCTCTGTTCACTCGCATGCGCGATATGCTGTGGGGCGGCGGCAGCAGCAAGAAGCTGGAAGCGCCTGGCGGCGACGAAGCTGCCGCTGCCGGCAGCAACAGACCAGCACTCTTCGCAGGCAGCGCTGGGGGTGCAGCAGCAGGAGCAGCAGCAGCAGCAGCAGGTGATGTGGGGAAGAAAGCGCACCAGGCTTCCAACGTTATCGACTTGTCCTTAGACGAGCCGCCGGCCGGCCGGCAGGTGCCCACCAGCCAGGGCGTGGGCCAAGGCAGCTCTGGCACCAGCGGCAGGACCACTGCTGCAGCAGTACCAGCGGCGCCTGCTGCCCCTGCTGTCACTGCTCCGAGCGGCAGCAGTGTGCCCGCTGAAGCGCCCAAGGTGCAGCGCACGCGCAAGGAGATCAAAGCGCTGCTGATGGAGACGCTGCAGGTGGGCGGTGCTGCATGTCAGTTGGGGGAGAGTGTTGGTGGCTCACTCGTGGCGGGGTACTGACGGCAGCCCCTCCTGGTGAGCTTCCGTTAAGCCTGCCCCTTCCGGTGGGCTGCCTGCAGACCATCAAGGCAGCCGAGGCTGGTGGCTACTATGAGCGGAACAAGGTGGAGAAGGTGGGCGGACGGTCCTGCTTGGCTTCTGGCTGTGCCCTGGCTGGCATCTGCCAGCGCGTGCTGTCGGTGCAAGCTGTGAGCTGCTGAGAAGGCCTTGCCGGCTGATGAACCTAGGCCGTTTGCTTGCCGCCCTGCATCCCGTCTGCAGCTGCGGCGTCGTGCTGCCAGGCTGGCGCGGCAGTATGAGGAGTCGGACCGGGGTGGCGGCGTCGGCACCGCTGCCATCTGAGTCTGTAGCTGTCTTCTGAGCCTCAGGAGGAACGGTTTGCCTGCTGCGCTGTTATGCATTCCGCTGGTACCTGTCCTTTGCAAGCTCTATTCGGATTATATCGCTAAGGGGATACGTTCAACGGGATCGCTACTGCTAGCGGCGGCGCCGGCGCTACAGGGAAGGGGTGGGGGGTCTCTGGCAAAATCAAGCAGATGGCTCAAAACTGCTGCGGGAAGCATCAAGGTGCTTGCCGCGCTCTCGGGTGGCGCACGCTACGGAAGGCAAAACTGGGCATGCCAGGGGGGCGGCAGCTATGTATGTACAGCATGGCACATGTGCCTGGGGTCCTGTGGGACCTGCGCAGCCCGCAACCGCTGCGCTTCACGGGCAGCAGCTGTGTGCCGCAGAAGGGGCCAGGCTAGCGGGGCCGGGTCACAGGCGGCTGCGTGCGGCGCTGCCTCCCTGCTGGGGAGCGCCCCAGGTGGGCCCAAACTCGGTGGCCACCAAAAAGTCGTAGGCGGTGAGAGTGAGGAAGTCCTGCGGGCAGGCGCGGGTGCGGGCAGGTGCAGGCAGGATGGGCAGCGTTGCGCGGGAGGGGGAAGCACAGTGGCCGCATCCACGCGATGCGGCCTGTGCCTGTCGCTGCGGCAAGCGCTGCGAGGCCCAACTGGGCGGCCCGCCAGGCCGGCAGCGCGCCAGGCCCCACGCCTCCCACCTGCAGCTCGGTGCTGGTGACCATGAGCTTGAACAGGGTTGCCGCCTCCAGGTAGTGGCCCGTGGCAAAGCGCGCGTTGCCCGCCTGCGCCGGGCCGGCACGGCGCGCCGCAGGCAGTCAGCAGCTGCCACGGCAGGCCAGCGGTCGTCGCGCGCTCGGCAGGGCGAGGGCGCACAGGCAGGGCGAGGGCACACAGGCAGGCCTCCAGGGTGAACACACAAGCCCACCCCGCCACCCCGCCACCCCCACCTGCTGGCGCAACGCGTCCAGCTCCTGCTGTATGGCCAGGCACACTCGGTCCACGGTCAGCGGCTGTCCGTCGTCCAGCTTCACGCCGTAGCGCAGCCACTGCCACACCGAGGAGCGGCTGCAGGGGGGGGGAGGGGGCGCTGGGTTGGCCACCCCAAAGGGTGATGCCACGCCACGCCGCATCACCCCACTGTTTACAACCCACAACCCACTCCACACCCACACCCACCACACCACGCACACGCCATACACCACACACCACACCACACACCACACCAACACCCCGGGCCCCGCACCTGATCTCCGCGGTGGCGGCGTCCTCCATGAGGTTGTGCAGCGGCACGCATCCGTTGCCCCCCAGCCAGGCCTCCAGGTAGGCGATGGAGACGCCGATGTTGTTGCGCAGCGCGGCCAGTGTGCGGGGGCCCTCGGGCACCTGCGCGCGGTGGTGGGGCGGGGGAGCGGGGCGTGAGGGGCAGACGGGGACCGCCGCTGCAGGCACCGCGTCTGTGCAGCTGCTGCTGCCGCTCACGTCTTGAAGGCACACACACACACAACGCTTGCACGCACGCGCACCCCTCCCCTCCCCTCTCCCCGCCACCCACCTTCAGCAGCTCCTCCTGGCTGGCCCGCACGTCGTGGCGCGGCTTGGATCGGATCTGGTTGGGTTCGCGCATGTGCGCATCAAACACCTGGCGGGGTAGGTGGGGCATGCAGGGGGGTTGCGGGCAGGGCACAGAATCAGAATCAGAATCGGCTGCCGCCGGTAGCTGGGAGGAGACGCAGAAGACAGCAGGGCAGCGGGCAGCGCCAGCGGTGCGCCTACTCCACCGCTCACCCCGCTACCGCCATACACACACCGCCGCCGCCACCATCAGCCAGCCAGCCAGCCAGCCAGCGCACCTGCTTGGCCACAGGGATGAGGCCGGGGTGCGCCACCCAGGTGCCGTCGTGCCCATCCGTCACCTCACGCAGCTTGTCGGCCCGCACCTTGTCAAACGCGGCCTGTGGGCGGGCGCGGGGAGTGGGTGGGTGGGTGGGGAGCAGAGGAGTGAGGAGGCGAGGGAGTGAGGAGGCGGCAGGCGGCGGCGCAACACGCTCAGAATGTGCCGGGCACCGCCGGCCGAAGTGGCGCCACACGTGCCACCCAGGCTAGCCCCAGGCTGGCCCCTTCCGGCACTCGTCATCCGAGCCTGCCCCAATGCCCTCTACACACACACATACACACAGCACACACAAACGCACACCCCCAGGCACACCCAGCACCTCCCGCCTGGCCCAGGCGCACCTCGTTGGCGCGCGGGTCGCCCTTGACGGGTATCAGCGCCGACATGCCGCCGATGGCGTGCACGCCCCGCCTGTGGCAGGTCTGGATGACCAGCTGGGTGTAGGCGCGCAGGAAGGGCTGGTCCATGCCCACCAGGCCTCGGTCGGGAAAGATGCGGGTGGGGTCGCTGCGGGGTGGGTGGGGTGGGTGGGGATGGTGCAGGTGTGTGTGTGGCGGTGTGGTGGTGGGGGCGGTGTGCGGAGGTTGAGGGAAAGGGGGGCACTGCGGCCGACGCCGCCAGCATGGCCCCTCCGCCCCGCGGCGCCCTGCCCCACCAATCACATCTGCCCACCCACACGGCCACCCACGCACTGCACCAACGCTGCCCGCACTTGCGCAGCGTTTTGATGAAGGAGAACATGTAGTCCCAGCGCCCGCAGTTGAGGCCTGCAGGTGCGCACGTGCGCCCAGGGAGCGGTGCCGTGGGCGCCCCGGCAAACACACACACAAACGGCGCGTCGCCCGCGGCCGCCCACGCCCGGCGAACGGCCCCTCAGCCCGATCCAAGTCGAGCGCTGCGCTTGTGCGGTGCCGCTGGGCAGGCACCGCACAGGCAGGCACGTACCCGCCGAGTGGTCCCGCAGCTCGTACAGGAACTCGTGCATCTCAAAGGCGGCGGGCAGCGTCTCGATCAGGCACGTGGCCTTGATGGTGCCTGCGGGAGGCGGGGGTGGTGCACATGCGCCGGGGCAGGGCAGGGGGGGCTGCGAGGTCACCCAACAGCCAGGCCGCAGCCAGCCGCTCCAGCCGGCGCATCGGCAGGCCCCCAAGTGGCACCGGAACCGCCAGCCGGCACTCTCCCCCATGTAAGCCCTTGGCAAGCCCGTGGCCGGCCGGCCGGCCCCAGCACCGCCCCCGCCAGGCCCCAGCCCCGTCACCCCACCAGCTCCTTGCCCCGCCAGCCCACACGCAGCCCGCCGCCACTCACCGCTGGGGATGCCCAGCCAGCGCTGCGCCTCCACAAACACTTCGTTCCACAGCCGGCACTCCAGGTGGCTCTGCATCTTGGGCCTGCGGCGGCGGCGGCGGCGGCGGCAACAGGCTGTGAAGCCCCGCCAGGCTTTAGCCATGCAAGCAGGGAAGCCAGGTGGCATGGGCCCACGCTATCGCAGGCAGGCAAGCCCCGGGGGGCGAGCACGGCGCCATGCACACGCTCACAGGTAGAAGTAGGGGCCCGAGCCGCGCGCCAGCAGCTCCCGCGCATTGTGGAAGAAGTAGAGGCCAAAGTCCCACAGGGCGCCCGGCACGGGGGAGCCATCCACCGCCACATGCTTCTCCCACAGGTGCCACCTGCGGAGCGGCGCGGCGGGGCGGGTGGGGCCGCGCGGGGCGAACGGCAGGCCAGGGGTGGCGGGCCGCACTGCTCGTGCCGCACGCCCACGCAAGCAGGCAGGCCTGTCGCCCAGACCTGCTGCCGCCGGTCCGGGCGGCACGACTCACCCGCGAGGCCGTACCAGCATCACCGCCACCTTGTCATTCAGCGGTACGTCTTGCCCCCCGCAGTAAGGCTCACGGTGCGCCGCACGGC